TTCTCCTTTTGCAGTCCACAGTTATGGAACTCTTTGCCTTTAAATCTGAGAAACTCTGCTTCTAAGGAAACGTTTAAGTCTCTCCTAAAAACCCACTTCTTCACTTCAGCTTTTCAATAGATCTCCTGATCGTTGGCATATGTACATAGACATTACATTTTAACTTTGTCACAGTGCCAGTGAGCAACTGTCGATGGATATCAGGCGCTTTACAAATCAATTATTATTATTATTATTATTATTATTATTATTATCACATTCACTCCTATTTTCTGAAACAAATGACTTAGACTCTTGAGTTTTGACTTTTAGTCTATCGAGAGATACCTATAATTTGTCAAGTTCTTCATTTTCAGCATAACTGTCTGTATGTCTGGTTGATATTAGCATATTTAATGCACTTTCAACCCTCCTGAATGCAGATAATATGCCTGCCCTCTCCCTTGTGAGCTGAATTAACTTTTCCTGCTTGAAAACATCCATATTTTCATCTGTCATATTGATTTATTCTTCATCAAATGTCAAAGAACACTTCTGCCTCCCACAAAGGAAATTTTCTTGAACTAATATTGTTGTAAGGTTGACAAAAGGGGGTTTATCTTCCACTCGTTTATTCTGTTGTCCTAGGTGTTACACTTGAACACATATCATCCTGTGCGTTGTGCTTTGAAACATTGAAACGGTTCAAGCTGAATACAAAATAAAGCAACCTTAAGATAGTTAACAAATGTTATATTTAGGATAACACTTTCTTAGTAAAGTACAGATTCTCGTACTTTTTTGGGTTGAGTCACGTCCGGTATTCGAACCCACCTAATCGCCAGCACACAAAGTCAGTGATCTAACCCACTCAGCCACCGAAGCTTCCACAAAAATGAAAGTCCGACAACTGGTAGTCTTGATCAGGTACTTTGAGTACCCCTTTGACAAGTGTAAATTGGCACAGCTAGCCGAAAGCTTTGACTACATAATGTCATTTAGAAAGTGGTCAAATGTAACAAATGTTATATTTGGGATCACACTTTCTTAGTGGCTGTGGATGGCTGATAATTAACATTTCGTTTTTCCAGAAACCTTTTCCAATGTCTGCACATCACATACTGAGACACATTGAACATTTTAGCTACCTCTCGCTGTGTTCTACCAGTACGAAGTATGCCAATAGTCCTCAGGCTTTCATCACGCTTTGGACAATGCGTTCCCAATCCAAACACAACTACTGCATTAAAAAGGAATTATAGTCATTACCTGTTACCCTGGGTAATGAAAATCACTGACGACTCAAAACGATCTGAGGACCTTTAACTGAAGTAGCAGTTATTTTTCAGAGCGGATCTGTCTTCTGACGATTGATCATAACATTTATATGCCATGATCCCCTACCTGTTTTGCAGAGTATATTTAATTCTTATTTGGCAGACACATCTGAAAAAGTGTTGACAGCTCAGCAACCAGAGACTTCACTTGTCCCATACTTGTATATACATGTAGCTGCACGTGTCTTGACCCTTGAAATTAATTTGAGTCATCGATATTCGAGTCCATATGTTTTACTCGCCAGAGCCCTTTTTGCAAACACTTTTTATCATAATAGTTAATCCAACTGTAATTATAACTCTGGTATAAGTTACTTTACTTACTGATAGAGTTTCAATTCCACCATTGTCATACACAAGCCTTAGAGATTTCTCGAACTTCTGATGCCGCTGATGGCACTGTCCGTTACCGAAGTTGTAACCAAAGGCGACCCAGGACTGATTGACAAAGTAGATTAACCTTTTTCTCAAAAGACAATAAAATGGCCATGAGAGGACCATAAGCGGTTGTCCTGAAATGACACGTGTGATCATGAACTCAAGTAATAAGGCCTGATTGAATCAGATATTATACATATTACTTGAACATTTCAGGTAATTATTAATTATACGTTTTAACAGTACATATATATTACATGTTAAAATAGAAGGAGACCCACTTTTTACATTAAATAGGAACACATTAGGAATTCAAATTCAGCTGACCTCACTGATAGCTATTTATATTTTCATGGTCTGACCTCTATTCGGGTACCAAGCCCAACACATAACACCAGCTGACTATCAGCTTATCTGCAAGATGTACTTGCTATAATGAATATATAGCCTCGGTATTAAACCAGTCCAGAAAATGAGTCAGAACAATCACACAAATTCACTGCTTAGTGTCTTACATGAACAGAAATAACTTCCAAATATTGTTGAGAAAATTGGTAAAAACTGAGTGTCTAAGGCTTGTGCATGACAATGGTGGAAACTCCATCAGTAAGTGAAGTAACCTATACCAGATTTGTATTTATGATTGGATTAGCATGGACTCGAATACCTGACAACGATATTCAAACTAATTTTAACGGTCAAGACACGTGTAGATACCTGTATATTCCAGTATGGGGAAAAAGTGTAGTCATTGGTTGCTGACACTTTTTTCAAATGTCTGCAAAATAATCAGATTTAAATATACTCTGCAAAACAGGTTGGGGATTATGAAATATAAATGTTATGATCAGTCAAATCATTCTGTGTCATTAGTGTTATTGATTTTCATTATTCACAGTAACAGGTGAGGTCACTATTGTTGCTTTAATGCAGTGTTTGTGATTGGATTGGGAATGCGTCGCTCGCAACGTGATGAACGCCTAAGGGTTATTGGCATGCTTCATACAGGTAGAACACAGCGAAATGAAGCCAAAATGTTTAATGTGTCTGGGACTTTGGAAAAAATTTCTGTGGACACAAAATGTTACTGATCGCCCGCACAGGTCGCCCTTGGCCAGTACCGATTAATCAGAAACCAGGCTTCATGAAATCATGTCGACGCAGCCAATGAAATCGCTGATCATTTGCGCGGTATCTCCGGATTTCCAGATGCGTCCAGCTGAACGTCATGCGAACGCCATCATCAGGCAGCAAGACAGATTTGAAGGTGGGTCTGTAATGATTTTGGGCGGGATCACTATAACTGCCAGAACGCCACAGCATATTGCCCATGGAAGGGGTCACTGGACGGGACTACAGATACAACCTACTGGCGCCTTATAGGTAGCCATGCTGGCTCACATTTTGTCTTTCAAGACGGTAACACTCATACCCACAGTGCACGCATCGTCAATGACTACCTCCTGCAGCAAAAGGTCACCTGCACCATTAGCCGAATTAGACTAGGTGCTATATGATGAGTGACAAGACATCCTCAAATTGTCTTTTGGTGTTTGGCCAATGGTGAGGGCATGACACATTATTGATCAAGTCATCTCAACCTTCTAATGTTTTAATTCACACCCCTGTCGTCTTTCTTATATGTTTGCAGCCTTACAATACACGACATATATGTCCTATTGATTGCCATGCTATTACACCTAGTCCTTCCTTGTTCTTATCCATTCATTATCATCACTCGATACCGCTTTGTATTTCTATAACCCATTGGTTATTTTCGAATATCCGCTACCTTTTTGGGACAGTATAGTAACATCACCGAAGGCCAATTTGTCAAAAATGAAAGCACGTGTCATCTAAAGTTTCACGAGAGAACTATACGTTAAATGCTGGACGTCATTGATAACTTCTATGAGGAATTTGCGGATAGAACATTTAGGCATGAATAAGGCAAGGGCACCATTCTTTGTATTTCTGTTAGCATCTTTTGTTTGAACAGTATATACCCTATTGAAATAATATGCCTTCCAATATATCCCTTCATACACTATACACCTGAATGTATTCAAATTATTTGGATATGTGACTTCTGGGTCACGATACTCGCTTCTACTTTTTTCATCATGTGTTAGGGCTTATTGGATTATACGTCTGATAGATTTTTCCTCACACAATTTACTTTAAACTGTTGTTTTTTAAAAGGCTCTTCACAGAAAAGATTAGCTGGCATGTGTTTTCAGAAAAAATACAAAATACAAACCGGCAGAATTAATCTCTTTATTACAAGCTAAGCTAAGTAATTAGACTTTCTTGTTCCGAATAAGAAGTGGAGTGATAATAATGTTCAGCTAGAAAAATAGAAGTCAGGATCTTAAGTTTGGGTTTTAACGTCGCGTTCAAGAATTGCGACGTGCATGTGCGTGCGGACGTGCGTGTGTGTGTGTGTGTGTGTGTGTGTGTGTGTGTGCAAACCGATAAAGATTATTAGAGTATCTTTTAGGGACCTACTTGCAAATGTAAAAGAAATTGTCCAACTAACATAAAAACAGCAAAATTACTGATATCCAGTTCTGTAGATGACTGCGCTACTTTGATTAGATTCTTCGTTGTTTTATGCTGCATTGACCAATATTTCAAGTACATAATGTCGGTATATAAATATCTAGACATGACCTGGAAACTACTGACTGAAAGCAACCTCAGCAAACACAGCAGTGTAACCACCTGTTCCAGTTGGCCACCTCGTATGACAACCAATAGAGTGCTTGGGATGTATTCTAACCTAGGTCCCAACGTTTTTGTTTTAATCTGGAACTACGATGTTCGTCTACATATTTTAATACAGGAGTGTAGGTCCCCAAATCTAAGGCATTGTTATGAGGGCATGTAAGACTTTCTGTCAAGACTAATATCAGTTCATACGATAACAACTGAGGAATGCTGATTTGAGGTAATTAAGTGTTTACTTTTACTTAATTCGCGAATGCTCCATCAGATCTTCTTCCATTCTTTTTGTGGCTTATGTAACAGAAATATCAATTATTCACTACCAATAATACCTGCTCTATCCTATGAATACAATGTAGTTAACTTGCACTCACAAGGATGATCGGATATTATCCTGTAGTATTGTACTACGTTAATCCTGCTTAACATCAGACATACATGCATAATGTGCACTCTTGACTAATATTTACGTTTCTGCTTGGTTTCTGAATGGTTTGAATAAATGATCCATGTGCTCAAACATCGCAAAGAAGACGCAAATAATTAATATTTCTAAGGAAACGTTTCATTGTCTTTCAGTGACATACTGATGTCCGGTACCTGACCACCCGATTCTGTTAGCCGCCTCTTACGACAAGCATAGACGCGTTTTACGGCAAGCATGGGTTGCTGAAGACCTATTCTACCCCGATCTTCACGAGTCTTTTGATTTTGGACATGCAACTAAATAAAAGCAAAAACCCTTTTCCATTATTATAAAGCTCAAAAACAGAGTCCGTTGTTTTATTCCAACAATGTCATAAGCATGTGTTTTTAAATCACTGTCAATCAGTAATGGTTGACCTAACATTTCAAAACTCTGTTAAATGTCTTCAGTTTATCATGCGTTGTATCTACTTCTACTGAGTATTGGCAGCAATTCGTGTTACAAATTCATCAACTGGCAAGTATATGTCATGAGGTCAGCTGATGCTGGTGCTATGGTAACGGCTGGCTCGTGGAACCAAAGCATGGACTCTGATATTTGGTTATCACAATTTGTATGGTGATCATTGTCTTCTTACCTAGGCTGGAGGACACCAAAGGGTACATTTATTGAAAACTATTAGTCGTAACGAAATGTAATTGTACACGCGGTGTAGTGTTTTCTATACAAATATGTTTTTTGGACAGATTTAACTGCTGCACGGTACTCGAAATCGTCTTGGCTTCTAGGTTTTGGTTTCACTGTATTTGCACCCTTGCTTATTACCCAATTTGCCTTTTTGAGGTACCAGGAGCGGTCGGGTAGCCTAGTGGTTAAAGTGTTCCATCACCCCAAAGGGCCGGGTTTGATATCCGACATGGGTACAAAGTGTGAATCCGATTTCTGGTGTTCCCCCGCTTGATATTGCTGGAAAGCGGCGTAAATCTATACTCACTCACTCACTCACTTTTGGGGTATCACTTAATGTCGAATGATTGCCTCGCTTTTGTGTACCTCATACAGCTGCTGAACAAAAGTTTGTGTAATTCACATTTGAAAGAAGTGACATGTTATCATTCTTCCAATATTTTCTGTTTAACACATTTTGAATGCGTATGCCTTTGTCAGTAGTATTGTATGTAGCTTTTCGACGGCACTTCGCCGGCACTTTACACAAAGCTACCATTCGAAGAGCAAGTTGCAAGAATGTCCCCCGTAGCGCGGATTACTCGACGACTATAACGTCGCCGCCCATCTGATTACCCGTTAGTTATAAAATATAATAATAAACGACAACGAGATTAATTTCAGAATTTTAATACAAACGAACAAGTACGAACGAGCGTATACACGGGCGGTTTACAAAATCTCACGACGCACAGCACGCACGAATGTGTGTGTTGCGGGGGAGCACAAAACAAAACCGTTCCATCATTTAGCTGAATAATAAAGCAGATCATTCGCTCTATCGACGGCAGTGTCATCAATTGTCATTTGCACAGAGTTGAATCGTTGTACCTTGGGTTCTTTACTCATCCAAGAGTCATAACGTTCCCCTACCCGAACGTTGAAGAACGCCTCTATACAGATGAGAAGTAGAAGGCAGTTCTACCCTCTAGTTTCTTCTGGTTTACCGCCAAATCACCAGTATTCAAATAATAGTATATGAAGGAGTCAATCTCAACATCTCCTCTTGACACAACAGATTCCCCAGGGAGAGATCCAAACTATTTTTATAGCCGTGTCGTGGTTATTTTCGTGCCCGCAAGTTTCGAATTGGTATCTGTGAAACATGCGCTTGACTCCAAGCGCATCCATCCTGCAACAAAACAGGACAACCCATTCGTTGATGATTGGAAATTTTCCGTTTCAAAGTAACCATTCTCTTCAAAAGTAGTTGAATAATATAGTTTTGATGAGAATCCCAAGTTGCACAAGGGTTCTCAGCCACACTTTCGAACAAATTCAGCGTCTCACCTCTGTAAACGCACGATTCGTACAACGAAGCGGGTTCGTCCAAAAATAAAAACTGGATGGTCTTGAATTTGTAAACACTCTTCAGCTGACTGTCAACGATGTCACGGCATCGACGAATGGCGCTTGTCTTTCCAACACCCGGTAGACCTTCTAATGCGGTGTTGCCATTTCACAACTGTACGCGTCAGTTGTTGAGATACGTAGCCAATGTGAATCATAGCATAAATCGCTGGACCTACAGTAACTCATGTATGGATGACTCATGGTGTTGATGAGTTTCGAATGAAGATTTCTATAACACTCAAAACATCACACACCTCTCGCTCCCTTTTTATATACTGAACCGCAAAAGAAACGTTACCATGGATCGATATATGAGAAACCTTTTTTGCCCAAACACTGTAAACATACTTTGAGACATATTAAAAAGATGAAACTTGGCAAAACTGATCATCAAGGTTGAATTTAAAATGTCAAATGTTCTTAAAGTGAAACACAACACCTGTCTCTGAGAAAATGGCATCACAAGTCAGTAACTCGTGTGTCCGCCATGTGCATTGATGACTGCCGTGCAACGTCGATACATGGAATGGATGAGGGGTTTGATGAAGGCCATATATGCACTTGAGCCCACACTCTGAGGAATGAATGACGTAGTTCAGCTGAAGAAGTCGACCTTTGTCGGACGTCATACAGGCGTCTTTGACTTTCGTCCCGCAGGTGCCCAATGGGACTTTGGGCAGGTGACTTAGGGCAGGCCATTGCATGGTTCTGATGCCATTCTGCTAGAGGAAGTCTCTTGTTGCTCTCGCAGTGTGGGCACGGGCGTTATCATCCTGAAACTCGTGGTTGCGGCGACGTGCCAAATGAGGTATGGCGTGTGGTCTCAAGACTTGATCAATGTACCGAGCTGCTGTAACACCATTATCTCTCTCTGGGCCGATGTTCTGGGCGACCACAGGGCCGACCCTCTGTGCAAGACCAATTCCATCCCACACCATGATGCTCGGATCACTCCACGAGTCTCTCAACAACACCAGCATCCGAATAACGTTCCCCATGGCGTCGCCACATTCTATCTGCCATCTGCTGTTGAGATACAGTAACGGCTCTCGTCTGAGAAGAGGACACTTCTCCCCTGCTGGTGGCGCCAATGTTGGTGCTGTGTTGCCCACTGAAGACGGTCCTGGCGATGACGTGGTGTCAGAATGAGTCCTCGGTGTGGCCTGTGACAGTGGGGTCGGTTTGTCCAGCTTACAATCGTCCAAGGGCTTTGTGTCGCTGATTTCTTGTCAATCTTGGCATGTGGTAGCAATTCAATAACGAATGAATGTTATCCGATCTGGGTAGATTTTTATAGGGCAAGAAATGGGGGAACGCATGTTCATTTCAATTTTTACGGAACACGTGCATCGGGTTACCATGGCTGTTGCCGTAATGCGTTTGGGCGATCGGCTTTATTGTCATCTCCTTTGTTTTATTTTATCATCAAATTTCATTTTTCTGGAAAAGGTAATGTTAAATTTTAGAAACTTTGACAAAAGATTACCCAGATATTTAAATGACAACTTTTCATGCAATGTTACACGGGGTGACGTTTCTTTTGCGGTTCAGTATATATTATGCACGCGAACGCCTATACAAACAACACGACTTTAGTCACATCCGTCATCTTTCTTTGATGGAGATAGTTCAGTCGTGTAAACTAGAAAACACACACAAACACACAAGGAGAGACGAGTAGACGGTTAACCATCGACATCGTTTGCTCAAAACAAATCAAGCTCAGTGCATACTTCCCAAACATGTGCTTCAGTTAAATCAGACACTATCGAATTAAACGCTTTACTTCTTAGAGATTCTCGTCTTGTTACCAGTTCGTCGCTAGTTTCCAAATGTTTAACCTCAAGAGGCCATTGGAGTTAATACCAACTTTCAAATATTTGATTCAATCGTATTACCATACATGTTGGTATCAGATTAGTATTATCTGACTGAATTCTATACAATCGACGCAACATCTCACCTGAACCAGCAAAAACGTCAATAAACTCCTCTCTGATTTGAAATCGCGTTGAGGCTCTTCATATACCCCGCAAATCATTTCTGTGGGTTTGCGAAGTAATTTGGACTCTTCATACATATTTTTGGAATAATCATTTCATTATCATCAATCACAAATTTTCTTTTCTCGACAATACACTTGGTATGAATTCTGTTTAAAATGGTCCTCAATCTAACTACAGCTGGTATAGAAAGATTCAATATCTCATTTGTATCTTCGTTTTTACGTGTAATCATCATTCGGAATTACTCGAACAAAGCATCGTACAACAAATTTAGGACGATACCACTCGAAATATTCAGCTCCAAGATATTGCAAGATAAATGTCCGATATTTCTCCGTTGGATTGACGAATCGCAATTGTTCTCTATCAATTCGACGAATGAACAACAATAACAAGAAATTAATACTTCTTATGTACCACTACACGATATTTCCTTCCGTCTCTTTGTTTTCTTCCTCATTCTTAATACCCGGAGGATGGATAATGTACTAATCCTTGAAAGGGGATAGGTGGTCGCTTAAGTCAACAGGCTTTAATAATGCGCGTTTATTGAGCCTTCACCGGGTATTAGCTTCACAACATAATATACATTGTATGGTGATATATGAATAAATAAATATAATATAATGACATCAATGTAGTTTGTTTCATGTTATGGAAATGCTTATTACCTGAAAACGCATAACAGTACTGCGCTATACAACGGTCCCTTTTAAACAAACCGCACAATCAAGTGATGAATCATCTGGTAACACGATGCTGTGCTTACTGATTATAAGCAAATGTTTTCTATTTTATTGTAACTGGAGTTAGCATCATTTTTCAACGGTTGTGTACATTTCCCATCGCTCTGAACTTCTCGTTTGCAGTAAAAGTAAGAGAGACCCCATCGTTCTTGTTGATATGTGTATAACTGTATTCCGATGTTAATAGCTGATTTAGACTTCCGATCACCTAAAACACCTTTAAAAGTATCCACTATAGTGGTTACAGCTTTTGTAATTTAAACCCTTACAGCTCATTTTTACTTTTGAATCATTTTGTTTGAATTCGTACGTTTTCGAGTTCAGTGAAATCATCTCACTAACCTGACTTTCTAATTTAAAGTACGCTTGTCTCTATTTATGTTTAAAGGGCAGCATGTTCTTGGCATGAAATGATAACTGGGATCGATATCTGTTTGAATGCAAAAACCAGCCAACATTTGATTGCACTCATCTTTCATATTATGTTTTATAACATCAACAAGAGACTCTC